AGAAATATTTTTAACTAAATCATAGAAGTATAAAATGGTAAATTACCTTTATTACTTATGTAGATGCAAGCAGTGTAGAAAGCATATCTTAAATGATTTAAAAACATCCACCGATATTACACATGTACTATTTTTAAAAGTGCTTTAAACATTTCTACATCCACAACTGAAATTATATTGAGGGCATATGATAGAAACATAGGACTTTTCTGTTTAATATTACTATATGTGAAATAATGAAAATAAAGTAAACCACATATGAATGCTTTTTCTTTTTGCCTTTTTCTTCTTTGCTTCTTCCTTCCTCTGTGTAAGTTGTAAAAAATTAAGATGTAACACAGATCAACTTCATAAAAAAATCCATAGAAATAAGGAATCAAAAAGTCATATTTAACATTTCCCCTCTTAGAAGTACAGTGGGCTGTCCTCATTCACTGACTTTCAGTGATCAAAAATTGCATTTAAACAAAAATACCATTCATAAAATGGACTACTGTATGTACAATAATGTCTTTTATTGCTAAAGACTATCTATATACCATAGTGCTGTGACAGTACTATTGTATATAGTAATAAATGTGAAGTATTTCAGGAAAAATATATTTATATATGGAAGATGGGATTTGAGGAAATCAAGAACTGGACTAATCCTAAGGAGATTAGTTAGAAAAGTTACAATGAAATAGACCCATGATGAATACAACCCAAACAAACACAGTAGCAATGACATGAAAGGAAGGTAGAATTAATTAAATACATTCACACATCTCATACACCATATGTGAAGAATAAGGCACGGAATAGCCATGAAGAATTTTAAACATATACATTTGTAATTTGGTGATGGAGAGAATTCAGGAAATATTAGCTGGGAAAAAAGATAAAAGAGAGCACATTTTGGATGGCATTCAAATAATAAGGTATATTAACATGCTATGAATTTTTTATTTTCTAGAATATCTACATCCACACAATGCTAGAAATCTAGGTCAGGACAGTTATCAGTTGAAAACTGTATAAGGGCACTCACGGAAGACCAAGTATTGAAAGAGACTGACATCTCCGTAGTTCACATGAGGTTCTAGATCCATATACATCTATATATCCCATATATCATATTTCTTATTCTCCAAATTGTGTAATTTTGGTATTTTGGAACTATATTTTGTAAAAAAAAAAAAAAAAAAAAAAAGGAATTTAAGGCTTAAAGATATGAAGCAATTTGATATTTCAAACACCTAGAAAGTATCTGTAGTGGAATAAACAAAAATGACTACACTGAAATAATGTTTTAATTCATTATAATAATGTGATTTTCTTCCTCATAATTGTTTCTTGGCTCGGAAAAGAGAGCCAGGATTACTTACAGCTGTGGGCTCATTTTCTCTCAAGCATCATCCATCATAAAACTGAGGTTTTTAAAAGAGCTTTTCTCAAGATTTTACTTCTGAGATAAATGCTCTACTGCTTATTATTTACTATTGTATTCAGTACACTTCAAGAGCAAGAAAATAAAAAGATAAAGTGGGTGGAGTGGATATAGGGCTGAGATGGAGAGGGGAAAGATGAGAGACCGACACCGAGACAGAGACACAGATGGATAGAAGAGAGAGAAAGAGAGATGGACAGAGACAGAAACAGACAGAGACAGAGAGAGACTTCTTACTTATTTGGCATTCAGATAGACGCCTTTCCTGAACTGCAGGATTTCATGAAGTTTGGGATGGAGAGCATTACTATCAAAGCACTGGTACCCTCTCCGGTCTAGAGTATGGATTATAACTATTGTAAGCCACTCAAGGCAATTGTTTTTTTTTTCATTTTCATTTTGGTTATACATGTTTCCAAGCCTCGGTATCACAGGCTCATGTACAACTGCCCAGTCATTCGTCCTCTTCCTCCCAGTCCTTAGATTCTGGTTCCTAAGCCTTCCCTGAATGTAAGTCTTACGTGCTTACCTCTATCTGTTCAACTGCTCCCTGTGCAAGTCAACATGCAACTGCTAGCGATTGGCCTACACCATGCAAGCACGTGAGACCACTTTGCATGAGATTTTCAGCACAGAATACTAGAACAGATACTTGATTCTTGAATAAAAGTGTAGGGTCTGGAGACATGATTTCTTTTCCATCTTCTTCCCCACTTCTATGCTTGGCGACTCTCTTTTGTCCATAAATACCAAATTTTAGCAATGACAATATGAGTATACCCAGTATGTCAAAGGACCATTGGAAACATTTATCATCTGATGGTTTGTTATAAGGGAAATTTAAATTTAATATAGGTAAAGACATTGTTTAATTCATGTAATTTGTGGCCAAAATCATAAGATACCACACTGTGGTGTTTGTGTACGGAGTAAGATACTGGAAGTTTAGTGTGGGGTTTGTTTTCCCTGTATATTTTTAAGGTAGTTTAATTCACCATCTTACTAAGAGCTATAGAAGCTTTTTTAAAATCTATTTTTTTTATGATTTTGTTGAATAATTATTTTTTCAATCACAGCAATGGTTTTTTCCTATATTTGTGCTCTTTGACTTACTTTAGTCTCTTTTTCGAATCCAATAAGTAGTAAGCTTATTATAATCTAATTAATTACTGAATAGATAAGAACACTTTCTAAATTCTATTCGTGCATTAGTGAGTTTGTTTTTGAAGTATATTGTCCAACTATGTGAGATGTTCCCTAAACAAAATATAATGTAAATACTTGCATAAACTGACTTCTGAAACTCTTCCAAACATACGACAATAATGACAACATGGTTTTGATTTATGGAAAAAATATCTAACTGCATAATAGAACAAAAAGTCTGCAAGGAAATCTACACATATATATCATAATTTCCAAAAGCTGATCAAGTAATTCAATATGAATATATGTTAGTTAGCATATGATTCTAGAAAATGACATGATTATAAGATATGATTCTAGAAAAGGACAGATGAATAAAACTTATGATTATAGAAAAAGATAATAATGAACCTCAATTTCTGCCTCAAATTTTATGTGATACAATTGTTAGCAAAAAATAGGTTGTAACTTTAAATGGAAGAGCTCAAAATAAAATTTCAAGAATAGACTATATGTTTAGGATTTATGACATAGATTTGAAAAATATTGCTAGATACAACACAAATATTTAAAGTGTTTTAGAAAAGAATGATACAATGACTGCCATCAAAATTAAAATCTTCTATTCTTTGATGGATAGTGCTATCAAATAATTAGATTTTTAATATTTTTTAAAAACATGTCTAATAACATCCTTGTTCCCAAAGTATATAAAGAATTCTTAAAAACCAATGATGCAACAAACCACTAAATAACAGTAAATAAAAGTAAAATTGAAAAAAAAAAAAAACTTCTCCAGATATAAAATTGAGAAAAACTTCTCCAGATATGATTTTGGTAAGAAATACTAACATCAAAAGATGCCCAGCATCATTGCTCGCTAAGGAAATACAATTTAACACATCAGAGCCACAGTGCTACATGGCTTTCAGCACAGCTAGGATTTAAATGATTGCTGACATCAAATATCATGGGGGATCCTACTCATTACTGCTGGGAATACAAACGGTATAGGCACTTCCAAATGGGCATGGGAAGCTCTTTAAAAATTAACAATAATGTTCAACTTTCACGCCAACATTAACAGTCTTCATTTTTATTCAAAAAATCAAAAGACTTCTACAGGTAGGCCTTTAAGTTAGCATCCACAAGATTGTTTTTTAAAAGTCTTTATCTTGAAGAGCATTTTAGATTCTTTGCAGAATTAAGGACCAGGTAGAGATATTGAAAGAACTCCCTTTGCCACACGTGCAGTTTCCTCATTATCAGGGAGGTCCAAAGTAGTGTTGGTAAATGTAAAGTGACACGTTGTTGTCATACAAAGCTCTTACCTTAGCAGGGAGCTACTCTTGGTGTTACAGGTTCCACTAATTATGCAGTGTGTAAAGACATGTATCCCTCATCACACAGCTTATAGACAACCGTACAACCTCCTCCAGAGATTCCTCTGTGCTCTGCCTACTTGTCCTTCCTTCCATTTGAACCTTTGGAAATTTCTGCTCTTGTTATAGTGTCCATAGTTTTATCTTTTCCAAATGTGCTGTAGTTGAATTATTTGATATGTAGATTTTCATATTAGCTTTTTCATTTAGCAAAATGCAGTTAAATTTTCCCCATATCATTTATTTGTAATGTAGAGTAATATTCCATCTCTGAAAGCATCACAGGCTTAGCTATTCACCTACTTAAAGATTCCTTGGTGCATCCAAGTTTGGGCAATTATGAAAAAAAACTGCTATCAATGACCACTTGAACAATTTTGGTTGGACATGAATTTCGGTTTCTTTTGTAAATATCAAGAAGTATAAAATAAGCAAAAAAAAAAAAAAAAAAAAAAAAAAAAACAAAACAAAACAAAACAAAACAAAAAAAAAACCAAAAAAACAAGTGTGATTGTTAGATCATATGGTAATGGGATGTTTCATTGTCCAAGACATTTCTAAACTGTTCTTTCCAAAATGCCTGCACCATTTTACATTCTTTAAAGCACTGAATGAGTGCTGGTCTTCTTCTACAACCTTGCCAGAATTTCATAGGTTTCTGAGTTTTGGACATTCAAATAGATGTGCTCTATAATCTCACTTATGATTAAACTTACAATTCCTAATAAAGCACAGTGTTTAATAGATTAGAATATGCTTTCTTGATGTCTGTACATTTTCTTTAGTGACATATCTATTAAGGTCTTGGGGCCATTTTTAGTGTTGAGTTTTAAAAATTCTTTAAAGTTTAGATAGCAGTAATATATCAGATACACAGCAAAAAATTTCCCTCAAATCATGGCCTGACTTTTACTCACTTTATAGAAAAACACTTTTTATATAAAAAAGAGATATTTAAATACTATAACAGGCAATTTACCAATTCTATCTTTTTTGGATTATTTTTTGTCTTTTATCTTAAAAATGTCAAGCAATCCACAGGGTCAAATTTTCTCACATTTTATTTTTGAGAAAAAACATATTTTTTCACTTTATGTGTGGTTACCCACTTTGAGTTTTAGTGAAGGATGTAAGGTCTATGTTTATATTCATTTTTTTTTGCATATGGGTATAATGTTACCAGTGTCATTCACTGTAGAGATTACGTTTCCTGTATTATAGCTTCTTCTCCTTTTTAAAATTCTCCTTTTTCTATGTCCTATAGAGTCAGCAGTAAAACAACATAACATTGAGAATAAATTAATGGTTATCAGGGACTGTGTTGATACCAGAAGTCTCAATATTCAAAGACCCTCAATATATCTCTTAGAAGTGTTCAGAAAAACATTTTTATCTTAATATGGAATGAACTCATAGTGATACATTTGTCAACATTTATTAAATTTTTTATGACAATCATCATGTCGCTCACTATTGGATATATTGATATATGCTATTTTATATAAAAAGCACATTTTTAAAAAATTTGTCATTGATTTTTGAATTATGTCTATCAAGGATCAAGGAGATAAGAATATTTTCTTCAAAATCTCTCTTTTCAATGGAAACTTTTACAGTTTAATCATTCTTAAATAATAAATGCTTGTACAACTATTATTCTTGCTGGGGTTTTTAAAAAATGTATTTATGTTGAACAATTCAAAAGTATAGGATGTAGTACTTGGGGTCTAGCTCAACAGCACAAGAGACTGCCTGGGAAAGTCAAAGTCCTGAGTTCGATTCCTGATACAAAGAGAGAGACAGGAAGAGAAAGAGAGAGAGAGAGAGAGAGAGAGAGAGAGAGAGAGAGAGAGAGAGAGGTAAAGCACAGTGTGTAGAGAAATTTTGGTGAAACACACAACTTTTAGAGCTGCTTTGGACTGACTTTGGTGATGAGATCTGTCTGGTGGAAATCTTTACACATACACACACTCAATTAAAGGAGAGGAAACTCTACACGCTTAGGGAAAGAGTGCTTCCGTTCTGCTGCTCTGAGTTCAACCAGCATCTGCAAGACACAAGGATGAAACTCAATGCGTTTCTTTCCACTTTAATGGAGAATCACTTATTTTATGATTCCCATGATAAGGAGAACCAAAGTATAACTATACAAAGCCAAAATAAAAATGTTCAAACTGGTTAAAAAGCAGCATGCAGGGAGTTACGTTGCTAAATAAATGTAAAGAAATTTAAATGCTAAATCAATATAAAGAAACATTTTGGGAGACATAATCTCTGCATTATTTTGGGAATGCAGCTGATTTTCTCTGGGTTTGTTCCCTAAAAACATATGCAACTATTTACTCCTCCACAGATACTTATTTTGCCATATGGATTATTTTTAAACAACCAGATTTTAGATCCCTGGGAATGACTATTCCTACAAAAGGCAGATCATACCACAAAGTCATTGAAGTTTAAACTTAATCACAGATGAGTTTATCAACTTATATTCTTCTATTCATAAAAATAAATGTACAAAACAAAGTTATAAAAAAGATGAGCATACCGGAGAGCAGAAAGTGTCAAAGAATTTTCATAAACTATCTTTTGTTTTGGAGAATTTCGATAGGCACATGTAATCTCTCATATTTGATAATGCTCAGCAAACAATACCATGTTAAACTGAAATGGAGGATTAAAGTCAGCAAACAAAGACAGTTAAGGACACTATAGAATATGATAAAACCATATTTTAAAGACTTCTCATTTTATTGAAAATTAGTTTGACATTCTCATCAGTGCAGCCAGAGAAAAAAATTATTCTGTCTATAGAACCAAGATGAAAAGGCCATCTGCTATAGAAGAAAAAATGAATTTGTTTTCCACATCCACTTTGTGATCCAGAAAACATTTTATTCTACATTATGCTTATATTAGACATCAGTAAATTTCATTATAAAGCCAAGACTAGGAGAGACGTTTGAATTTGAAAATATACATTACTTGTATAACTTTTATAATAAAACACTTTCAGGATGATTATATGTTCCTGTGCTTTTATATAATTAAATATCTTACTGCATAGTAGTTTTTAGGACTGATTTTGTAGGTTTGCATGATGGAAATTGGACTTCAACTACCAAAACTATATCACATATTTTCCCAATCATAATGCTTGGTACTGATTCCTCTTTTTAGAAAAGGTGTGAAAATAATATTTGCAAACATGAGAATGTTAAATGTGTAGTTTGAGAGTAGTGGTCATTTCAATTTCACAGTATATGATGAGTGTACCTTTAAAAAATCAGAGTCTATCAAAAATAAGAAAAAAATAAAAGCCCTACTGGTTTTATTTTTATTTCAATGCACAAACACTTCATCTACTGAAGTGTAGTAGTTTGCTGCAATTCTTGCTCTTCTGCCAAAATCTACACTAGTGAATTACTTTGTAAAACAAATATACCAGTCAAAGCAATAGATATATTACTCTTTCTACATTTGACTGGATATTACTCTTTGAATGGAGAATTACATTAATATAAATATAATAAAATGTGTCTTCATTTTTCTGGTAGCCTTTCATAGTAAGTAAGCCTAAGGTTTCATACCAGGTACAGATTCAAAATCATACCAAAGTATAATTATTTCCCCTTTAATAGTGTTACTCTGAATGCTATGAGCAAAACATTATCTTAAAGAACTCCATTAAGTAATTTTGTTAGGATTATCAGTTCATATGGGCAGATATTTCAGTCACTTTGAAATGGTTCTGTAAAATTGTAGGTTTCTAAATTTGCATGTGGAAAAAATAAGAGTTTATGTTAAAAATATAATGGCCTCTTAATAATTTGGTTAGCACACTCCAGGAAGCTCTAGAATAATGCTTTAACTGTGTTTAATTTGTGATTCTTAGCATAATACTATTACTCAAATATACTCATGCAAACCTGTTTTTAAAATGTCATTTGTTTGTGTGTAGAAAATAAATCTAGTATAGGTAACAAATGTAGAAGACAGGCATAGTGGTGGCACATGCCTCTAATCCTAATCCTGTCTCAGCTTGGGAGGCTGAGACAGAAAGGTTGTGAGTTTGAGGCCAGCCAGGGCTACATAATGAGTTCAAGACCGATCTGAATTACACAGAAAGACCCTGTAACACACACAAAAGATGTCGATCTTTTCTATGCATAATAAATATAATAATCATGGCAGACACACTATGTGCGATAATTCATCTCTATGCTACATTAATTTCCTATACAGTACTCGAAGCAAATCTACTTAGAACATTTATTTTTGTTTCTTCAGTTATACATCTGTGTTTACACATTAATGTTTTCCATGTTGTTAAAAATTTCCATGACAGTTTGTCTCTCTAGCTGTTTTTACCTAAAGTTTCTAAACGAAATGCAAATTTCCAATTATGGTAAGTCTCTGAAAAATAAGCAAAAGCATGAAAATGTTCAAGTTTTATCTAAATCTGCAGAAGTGATTGTCAGTGTCACGGTTCCCTCTGTCTCCGCCCTCTTATTTTTCTCACCCAGCTTTGACTGGAGCCGGCCACAGTCACAATGCTGCTTAACGAGTAGTGTGGACAACAAAACTCTAATAGAAAACTGATTTTCTATCTGGAGCAAATGAAAAATGGGGCCTCTGTAACATTGCAGAACAAAAAGTGGGGAGCCCCTGAGGACAGGGAATTAGAAAAAGAAATCCTCTAATTCTTCATGGGAATCTGCAGTGGTCATGTGTGGGCTTATCTCTATGTCCCAAAACAGCAAAATCTTTGAGACTGGATTACAAATGCATACTTCCTCCCAAGGACTGCTATTTTAGGCAGTACTTGTGTGGGTCAAGCTCACATCTGCATTCAAAATCTCCACAAGTGCAACCGAGATTGCAATCGTTGTGTGTGGAAGGTGATTCAGAACTTCAAAGCTGAACCCAGTCTGGTTAACCCATGGCTAAAATAAACCCATAAAACTGGCATATCATGAGACTATATCAAGATCCACAGTCTACAAAACACTGCTTCAGAATGCACAGATGTATTGAAAATGTTAATGACATAAATAACAAGTAACATATGAGCGATTTTCAAGCCAAAAATCAAATCATCGGATGCCAGTCCTGAGTTGAGGCGCATGTTGAACTAGAAAACTAAGAAGAAAAGGGAAGCAAATGTGCAGCATACAAGGTGACAACAGAAGAAAGCTAGAGTTTCTGTATAAATATAAATAATGTGGGCTCAAGAATGTATATAAGCAGAGAGGAGGAGGATGTGACAACCCTAAAACACTCACACAGCAGGGCTCCGGAACAGGCGAAGTAAAACTAACACAGAGAGGTGAAATAGTCAAGTCTGCAAGGGTGCCTGGGGACTTCCATATATTTCTCCCAGCAGTAAACAAGTATGTCGTAGTGTGTAACTCAGCTATGGGTATCTGTTCTGAGAAAGCTGTTCTTAGGCAGTTTTGTCTTTATGGAAACATCCTGGAGTGTACTTAAAACAACCGGTTCCAGTGTTAGCAGAATGTGAATTCCTTCAAGTTCACACGTTAGAACTTTCAAAAAGACAAACTACACTCTACCTTCACAAAAACAAATATCCCAAGAAAGGCTCATTAAAATAATGGGAAAATTATTAGAAAATTATGTTACTGTCATGGAATTAAAGTAGCATGTATAAAATATAATCCATATGTAAAATGCAACCCATATTTGATGCATTAGGCAATGGAAAAAGAAGACTGCCGTGAATTTCTAGATTCAGTCCCAGAATTTTGTTGTTGAGAAGTGTAAGGAGGAGAATGGAAGTGCCCAGTGTGTGATGTCAAAGGGAAGATTTATTTATGTATGCATTATACCTACTTAATGAAATGCAGGTTAATTTTAATTTTTAAATGAAAAGACATAGCCATGTTTTCCTTTTCTTAGATGCAATTCTGTACACATAGAATACATAGGGTAGTATATGATTTTCCTTGGCTGATAGGGAATGAGAAAAATAAATTAAATATGCTGTGTGTATCATGTCCATGTTCTTAGACTCTTACCATAACAGCGCATGTGTCTTTAATTAAGCCTCAACAAAATCTCTCAAGGAAGCCAATAGGGAAGCAGCATTGCCCTGGGAAAGTGAATGGGGAAGCACTAAGGATTAAAAAGTTAACCTTGCTTCCATCCACATATTCTTTGAGAAACCTCTATAACTCAAAGTGGTGCCTTGAAAATGGTTGTATCTATTTATAATTTCTTAAATTTCAGGATTTTGAAGCTAGATAACGCATTATTAGTGTGCCCGGAGACTGTTGCTGCACAAAATGTGTAGTTGACAAAAATAAGACATAAAAATCTGATAAAAATGTTGAGTACAAGTGCTAAAAATAATTGACTTTAATGATACTGGGGGTTGATTCAACATAGGTGACAAACTTTCTGCCCAATATTTTTGCATAGCCAACTGGTAGCACTTGTGATTTCCCCACTTGCCTAAAGACATTCCATAGCCAGCATTTTAAATCATATTATCAATCTTTTAAATTGAAATATTACCAAGGTATCTTTAAATTCTCATTGCAAATTTTATTTCTTACTTTGTCTTAGACTATTTTTGAGTTTTTAAAATGAAGCATCTTTAAAACAATCACAATGTATATATTTTAACTGTAAATAGTACATTTTCACAAATACATCCTCCCGATCAGTTTATCCAAAAAAGTTTATTTGTGGAGCTCTGACTGTTTCTCATTTTTCTTTTGAGAGTGGAAACTTTTTCTAATTTTTATCACCTTGTTTGTCTAGATAATCAGAGGAATTAAAGTACATAGTTTTTAGTTTTATTTATTTAAGTAAATGAAGTGCAGTGTATCTCCATGAGGTCATGGTTCACAGTTCATGGATTTTTGCCTAGAACCTAATTGAAAATTGTTCAGGGAAATCCCTGGAATTTCGCAGAAACCTAAAACATTCAACACAATTGCTTTGTGTTTTTCGGGATGTCCGCAAGCAGCCAATCCGAGGACATTATTCAGTTCTCCTTGATAATTGGTTGCCACCCTGCAGTCCACCTCTGGCTAATGCACTAGAACTCTCGCATCATATCAGGCTTCTGTAGGCGCATAGTTATCTCAAGTGGTCTCAGTTTTGTTTTTCTTGAAACTCTAAGATGTCGTCAAAATGCCCTGCACCTTGGAAGGCTTTATTAACACAGTATTTTATTAAACTAACGTGGCCGGGAGTATAGCTCACAGGTGCTGCACCTGCCTGACGAGCATGAGATCTTAAGTTCAATTCCTGGTACCAGAAAAAAATAAATAAATTACATACCTGTGGAGCACATAACAAACTCATAGTTCAGACTAAAAATAGGCATTTATCTGAAATCTATGGTTTTGCACTATTTGCAGGTACTCTAGGAATGTGACTGCCCCAGATTTCAGGGGTCAATTCTACATTGATTGAGTATATCTGTTTAGATTTATCTACACTGTTGCATGTTTCTTTTTATTGCTGGATAAAATACATCACATTTGACTATATACATTTAGTTTACATTCATTTTTTTTCATGAATAAAACTATTACACATTTGCATGCTAGCAATTTGTGGGTGTATAACTTTACTAGTCACTGAGGAATACCAGGAGATGGGCAAAGGTTGGCTTGTATCTAGCTTTATATTGTTTGTAGTGTCTTTTGAAGTTATCTTAATTAGAATTCTAGTTACTTCTCATGCTCAACATTTCACATGATCAGCCTTAAAAGTATACAATTTTAGAATGTATTTTATTTACTATTAATGATTTTAAAGACTGTGCTTTCATAATATACAGTATCAAATATCCAATGAAATTTTAAATCTCCTACAAAAAATATTTACAATGAAAGACACACCGCTGCGAAGCCCTTCAGCATATCCTTGCTCACATCAGACACACAGCCTTACAGGTCTTTTCACTTTCCGAAGCACTTCTGGAAATGCCTTTCATGTTTTTAGTTGCACAGTTGTGGCTCTGTCCTGCACTGATTCAAAACATTCACTTTTCAGGGCCATTTTCACCTTGAGGAAGAGCCAGAAGCCAGATGGTGCCAGATGAAGAGATTTTCCACTCTGTCCTTTCCGTTGACTGACACTTGGCGACAGGATTCCTGTATTTTGATCACACATGTTTGAGGCACTCAGGAAAAACCTTCCAAAAATGCTTCAGTGAATCAGAGTGATGAGATGTGTTGCTTTGTAGCAATGCAGTGTATTTTGAGGGAGACTTCCAAATCACAATGTTAAATGAAAATGCAAAAACTGCATTATAGTAAAAGTTACATGGCTATGAATCTCTGCCACGATACTCAAAATACGTCCCTTTTATCAAACTCATTTATCCCACCAGCCTTGCCAATGTGTCATTTACTGTAAGAAGGTTTTATGAATTTTATATTTATTTATTCCTTTTGATTTTTCTTAGTACATGTTTTAATTATATAATGAATACATTCACTGTAAGGCTTTAGTATATATACATAATATCTGACATCATACATAATACAATGATGAATCTATATCTAAATATATGCATATATTTATTCTGTATACAACGTCTTTGTCAGATCTATGGGTAGCAAATATTTTCTGCCCCTCTATCTTTTCCTACTGTTTTCTTTTATGGATGAAATTTTAGTATTAGTGACATTTAACTTTATTTTTTTTTAACTTTGTACCAGTCGTTGTTTCCTAGAAAACATTGCTGATATCTATATATTATCCTACATATTTTATAGTTTCAGCTTTTATTTTACTGTAAGTTTCTTCTCAAATTGGTCTATGTGTAGGATGTTATGGTCAGGTTCACTTTTATATTTTTATGTGAGTATTCAAATATTTTCAGCACCCCTACAGAAATAACATGGAATTGTACACTAACCTTAGTTTAAGTGTAAACTTTCGTGATGTTGCATATACATACCAACAAGTTAGAGTGCATTTTCCTACTCACATAACGAGGATTTCTGAAATGAATAGGGCCATCTTTCCAATCTTGTTTATAAATGATATAGGAGAGCTTGGAAAGGATTCTGGCTTGGACTTTAGGTACTGGTTAAGAAATAAGGCCAGAATGAAGTTTCTTCTGCAGGAATTTAAGTTCAAAGTAACACTGAAGGAGAGAGGCAGCACCTGGGATTTCTTGGCAATCTGCCTTGTAAAAGGCAAAAGGTGAGAAAGGAAATGTGAGATTCAAGGTTTTCAGCTGTCAATCACGAAAAGAATACAGTCAGACTCTGTTGCATAAGGCACCATTTGTTAATGAATTAATCTTTCCCCTATCACATTACCTTTACAACTACATAAAATCTATTCAGTTTCATCGTTGGAGTCTTCTCTATTCTGTTTCTTTTGTTCAATGTATCTATATAACTACCCCTGAAAAATCATGACAACGTTTTTATTACTATAGTTTTAGAGTTTCCTATTGACTCAAATTCATATTCTGCATTATTTATTAAGAGTACTTTGCTTGTTCTTGGGATACTGAATTCTTATATGAAGTTATGAATCAGTTTACAAAAAAAGTAAATGGATGATTCTCGATATGGTGGTAAAAGTCTGTAATCTCAGCTCTCCAGGAGGCAGAGATAGGAGAATCATGTAGCAGTTTACAGAGACCTAACACACAGACACACACACACACACACACACACACACACACACACACACACACAAAGATTTTTATTGGTACTAAATTGAATTTATAGATTAATTTGAGTCAAATAGTTATATAGTTAAATAGTTAATGTTGAGTTTTCCAATTTATAATCATGTTATGGCTCTTAACTCATTTATGTCTTACTAGGTTATTGATTTTAAGACTTCTGTCTTTTTAGTATACGCACTTAACACCACACGTTTACTCCTAAGCACTACTCTGCATAAAATCCACGATATCCACATGTTCTTTCTTTCTTGCTCCTGGAAATCATGTACATGTATAGTCTTCTTTGGGATATTTATTTGAACTATAGAATATTCAAGGACATGTTTCCAATATTCTCATTACCTGACTTTTCTAGCTACCTTGTGATTCATTAGATAGTAGAGTTTTTAAATTTCCAAATTGTGAAAAGGCAGAGGCCTAATCTGTTGCATAGCAAAAGATTTATAAGGATTTGTTCCAAATACATTATCTTATAATTAGATGTAGATATCTAGTTATGTTTGTTAGGTAACATCAAGTAAAAGCACAGTTTGCATTTTTCCATATAGGAGTACCTTAACAGTGTTTATAAAATTGAGTTTGTGTACTTGTTTTTTATAGGAAAACAATAATTTTTAAATATTTTCATTTTGGTGGCACTTTTTGTTTTGTTTGTGGTATCAGGAATTGAACTCATGACCTCACACTTGCCAGACAGTCGCTTATGCTGCTGAACTCAATTTTTGGCTTTTTTTATCTTATTTTTGACTTTTACTAGTGTATGTTTGTGATCTATAATGATTATACTCACTATTGAAAATTGATGCTTGTATACAACACATTTCAGTCCTTTTCCCCCTTCCCTCCACCCACTTTTATTTTCCCAGCATCAGATTGATTTATCTTATAAGATCTTATGAAGTTAATTATTGTGTATACAGATTGAACACCAGAAGCAAAGAACGTGTAAGACCACTGTACTAAGTCAAGTACACTTTTAAATACATGAAATGCATATTAAAAATGTACAACTAAGAGTATGAATTTGTCTTTTCCATTTCGTATCTATGACAACTTTGGTCCATAATTTTCAGCTTCAGTTATAGTTGCCACACATTTGACACTGCTGCTTTTCCTTACCCATCTGCCCATTCTTTGCTGAAAATTGTTTTTCTATCACTGTAAGTACTGCTTTCTTCAAAACTTACTCTGTTTGACACCAAAATAGCCACACCAGCTTGCTTATGCTTAGTGTTTTGGTGCTTTTCCATACTTTTATTTCTCCTTGTTGGCTTGTCTTGTTTTTAACCAGCTTGAAAATGGATGTGATGGTGAAGTGAAAGTTTAAATTTCAAAAGAATGTAATTAGAGTGAAATGCACATTGCCATTATTATTCAAAATACCACCCCCCTTCATTTGAGCTTTGTGAAAGCCAGCTTCACATGGCAGTGCTTGGATTTCTAGACTTCAATTCCTTTTTTCCAGACTTTATTTCTGATCCCTTCCATATGCACAGTTTAGCAGACTACGGAGGATTTGGGGGACATTTCTAGGTATATTTTAGCATTCTTTTTCTGTGAGTCCTAATTTCCAGGTCCTCCCATAACTCTACATCTTAAGCATTAAAGAAATGAATCTTACCTTTCAATTTTAAGTCGCTCAGGTACCCACATGAACCAGGGGCTGGTTTAAAGGAAAACACACAAAATTGTAAATTTTACCTGCTGTGATTTCCAGTTTCTAACCACCAAATCTATTTTTATTATCGGCCTGCTATTTTTATTCTAGCACATTTTTGACTAATTACTTTTAATATTTTGTCTGGGGATTTTAATGTTTATCAGAAGGAAGATTAGTCTGGTAAAACCTACATTATCGTTACTGAATGCCTAGGATGTGACTTTGGGTCTGTTTGAAAATAGTATTGATACTGCAAACAGTTCTTTTCCTCTCTTTTGTACAATGACTATTACACATTTTGGGTTTCATTGCTCCCACGGTTCTTATTGCTTTTTTGGAAGAGAGTAAAACCAAATGAGACATAACAGAACAGAATCGGTCAAGTCAAAAGGGTGGACATAATAGATAATATAAAAACATAATACAAGGTGATCAACAATGGTTACCATAATGCCTCCGGCTATCTCTAATAGAATTGCCTATATCATTAGTTATAATACAATTGAACAAAACAGTAAAAAACAAAACCGACAAAACCAAAACATTGGAGACATTGTAGGTCTTCAAAAGTAGATAAAAGTCAATGAGAATGGGCGTTATAATGAATGTATCATTGCTGGAATGTCCACTCTACAAGCTTTAATTTTGTGACTTGAACAATTATTTCTAAGATGGCAATATGTAATCCATTAACTAGTGATTTCCTACTGTTCATTTTTTTCTTCTGTAAATCTGTATAACTTGTACCCTTTCACTGTTTTTTTTTTTCTTTTCTCCTTAAATAAAAAAAAAAAGAAAATAGTATTAATTACTGTTTTTTGGTAGGGAATCATTGTAAAATACTATGAAAGCACAAGATGTGATAATGGAGGACATAAAATCAACTCTTAAATATGTGCATTTTATTTAAAGACAAACATACATGTTTATCACTAAATTAAAATCTGAAATGCTGTGGGGAGATTGGCAGGTGCCTAAAGTCAAGTTTTGTTTATATGTATTTCATAAAAATATTAATATCATATTTTATTAATGATTCTTTAATACATTAATGTAATGATTTTTATAACTTCATATTACAGCATATACCTAGTGTTATGGTTTAGATCCAGATGTCCCCCCAAAGCCCTATGCAGTTTTACATGAGCCTTTTTTGGAGGTGGCTGAATCTAGAGTATGTGAATGATTCCTGGTGCAATGCTGGGATTAAGGATGCTAAGATTAGAGGCAGGTGATTGCTGGACCAGTCCACCAATTCAACTGACATCAGCATCTTGGATAGATTTTCCAAGGATAGACTATCCAGCGAAAAGATGCTGTCAAAGTTTGGTTGTGGCTTTTGCTGATTTCGGTTACCATGAACTGTTGGCCTTCTGCTATGTGCCTCCCTGTCTAGAAGCCAGCCGATTATGAACTGAAACCTCTAAAAACTGTGAGCTAAATAAAACTTTTCTACTTTAAAATTGAATGGTGTGTATTTTGCCTCAGCAACAAGAAAAGTAACAAAGCCCTATCTATCATTTACTTAACTGTGTGCTGAGTAATTTATAAATTATAATTTATTAATTGATTTCTAATAAGTAGCAATAATGAGTCTTATATAAAATTCTCTGTCCGTATTTCTGATTATTTCTTTAGATAAGATACCTGTAATTTCATTACTAAAATGCAGAGATTTACTATATCTATGCATAAGGTTACTGAATTTTCCTAAAATCTGTTAGTTTTTCCTCACATTTTACTCACCAGTTTTGTGTAATAGCTTCTAGTTTTCAACACTTTCAGTCAAAACTCTTGAAAATTTATTTGCATTTATCTAAATGGGGGAGTATGAAAGTTTTTTATTGTCTATTTGTCAAGTCTCTCTTTATATACATTTATTTATGTTTTCCCCTTTTGTTAATTTGTACGGGTTTATTACTAATCTATATTACTCACAAAAATAGATCCAGTATGGTTGTTTTTAATTTGATTTTGATTATAAATATTTGTTCTGTGGTGACCTCTGTAATATTAGGACTCTTACTTGTTTTTGTTTTGTTGTAGTTATTTTTAGGTGAAATTAATTATATATGATTAACTGCATAAGAGTTCCAGTGGTGCAACTGGTTAGTGAGGGGTAATTATATAACAATTAACCTTATAAAATCTGTGCTACTCAATAGCAGTGTATTCACAGCATAGTGAAATCATTCTGTCTGCTTCAAAACTATTTCATCACTTCAAAGGAATATCCTGTACCCTTTATTTTTCTGAATATTTTTAAGACATGCTCTCTGGTAAATCTAGTGACATGGCTTAATATGCTTTCTGGCATTTCCTTTTCTTCTCTTAAAAGACTTCCACTTTTCTGTTTCTTAAAATGCTCTGTAATTTTATTTGAGAATGGATAATGTAAGTATTATAGTAGGGTAAAAGCTCTACATACCAGGTTTTCCCAGGTTTTTGGAGAGTCTTATTGACGTGTTCCAGGATGTCTTAGTCACTTTCCTCATTGCTGAGACAAATTATAAAGCATCCAAATTAAAAGCGTAAAGGTCTATTGTGGTTCACAGTTTGTAGAGGTTTCAGTTCATAGTTGACTGGCTCCAGTGCAGGGTGGCATCACAGAGAAGAAACAGTCCGTGGTGTGGAAGGGGAAGACAGGAGGCAGTGAAGCAGAAAGCAGCACCCAAGCCCAGAAGCCTCCTCTTTCTTTCCCTTATATTCTATCCAGCCAGGAAGCACAGCACTCACACCGAGGCAGGGCCTTCCCATGATCTACTCCCAGAACTATGCCAAAGCAGTCAGCAGACTCATTTAGTAGTCACACACCCTTGGTTCCAGCATCACACACTGCAGATGCAGCCACCTCTGAAAGTCTCATGCACAATTGCATCAGGCTTTGGGGGAACCTCTAGACACAAGTCGGTACACAAGCTATCGTCCATATATTTAGTAGCTTTTTATACTATCCTTGTAGACTCTGGTCTTGTTATGTGAGTGTCACTGAAGTTTGTGCTCTGTTGTCACCATGACAGCCGGAAACTGAATAGAATGACAGAATCAAATTTAAAAAGAAAAAGGAAAAGTCCAGTTTTTAAAAACTCCTTAGTCAGATATCACCTGGGAAGCTGCTTCATGAAAGTGAGGATGAAACAATGGTCAGCCTCTGTCAGGACTCCAGGGTTTCACCGGACAGAAGATAGCATGTGTGTTCCTTTGGCAGAGAATATCAGTATCATTCATCCTGACCCCAGCAGCCTGTATCATGTCAGTAGGCTTCCTCCACAACGTACTGCCACCTGGGCTAATGGTAGCTAAAAGGTCACTGTGTGTTACCAGCATCTTTCTCCACCAGTTTTTAACCTAAAACCTGGTAGTGTTTCAACAGACTCCAAAGTTCCAAAATATTTGGGACTAATAGTTCATCTGAGATGCACTTTTCTTTTAATGGAAGGACCAAATCCTGATGCTCCACACCCTATCACTTAGATACAAAGTTTTTGACTCTGGCAAAAATATTTTTACCACTGAATTTTCTTTTTGTTTTTTGTGGTGATAGGAATTAAACTTAGCATTTCATGAATTCTAACACATGTCTTACCACTCAGCTACACCCACCTCCCTTTACTGAATTTTTCAATGAAAACTTGGGAGAACTCACCACCAATTATCTTTACAGATTTCCTCCATTACATTAAAATATTTACTCTTAAATACACACTTTTCATATGTACTAATGAACTCAAGTTTCATAGAACAATGTAACTAGAAGCAATGTTACATTAGAAAAATAGTAGAGTCTACAAAATTTGGTCAAGATGCTACAATAAGTAGAACTGAGAAAACAACCTATAAATTCTGACTTCTATTCCTTCATTAGAATAATATACACAGCCATTCCTCATAGGACTAAGGCTGACCCTAAAGACTGGAGAAAGTGCTACAAAGACCAGAAGAAAGGTTAATCTGCATATGATCCATTTACAGAAATGAAGAAAGATTGAAAAACGGACTGCGAAAGACTGATACATTTTTTCAAAATGTCATATAAAATATTTTAGTACAAGGGATTTTCATTTTGAAATTTTTAATATGTTAATACTTAATGTAAGTGCATCAAAGAATATAATACTGCTCCTAAAATTTAACTCAGGAAATTATTCTTTTCATAAATGCTGCACTTTCTTTGTATCCTAAAGGTCTTTCTATGCAATATTAATACATATTCCTTTTATGTAAACTCATTTTGACAGGAGTGGCGAAAGCATATGATTCATTTCCATTTAGATTCCTTACTTATTAAAACTAATTTAAGAAAAAAATTCAGCCAGCATAATTTATTAGGCAGCACAAAGACATTTGTGTGATGCATAGAGTTCAAACTTGATTTAACATTTTAAAATAATTTATAAAATGAAAGAAACAACATACTCTTATACTGACACATGTCTTGAAATTCAAAATATGTGCAAGAGATGAATAGATATCATACACTTCTCTCTATAATGATTTACTCTGCAAATGGAGACAGCACATTTTGAGAAATTTTCATTTGAATGAGAATAAAAAATTCTGAACATTAAAATTGCTTAAATTGATTTCGACTGAAGAATGTTCACGCTTTTTTACACCCCCACCCCACCCCATATTCATTGTTCTAGAATTTTAGTGCTTTTAGTGCATTATCATTGCTTTTATTTTGAAATGAAAGGATATTTGTGAAATGATTGATATGATCTAAAAGGAATTACAGGGCCGATGCATTGTATAAGGTGACACTAGGAAATCAGTAGCAGATGGGAAGAATAATGTTGGGCATTGAGGTGGTAAAAACCATGTATGAAATGAATTGTTATACAGTTGTCTCATAGTACATTGGTGTCAGTGACTTCAATAATTTAAGGAAAAGTTACTTGAAAAATTAACTTTCTACTCTATTTAAATTTGGATTATTCTGAATGACACTGGCCCTGGAACAAAGCAAGTAAAAAATTTTATGGCATTCATTAATCTGCTTGGACTTTAGTGATAGCTTTTTATGTAGGTGGTGTTATTGTGATTTTATTTTTTTGTATTGGAGATTAAACTCATGACCTTGTGCTTGCCAGGCAGGCACTTATGCCACTGAGTTAAATCCCTGACCAAGTGGTATTATTTCAAAAGCATGATTAAGGTGTTTCACAAGAACTTTATATTCTAATGGTGGAAGAAGACAAAGTAAGAGACCTTTAAAGAACAGAGTGACAGTGGATGTGGCACAGGAAGTCATAGACAGTGTAGGGAATATGGAAACTGGCTTGGAGATCTACTGGGAAGATCCTTGTTTGTTTCTTAAAGAGCATTGTTTTTTTTTTTTTTTTCTTTTTCCTATTTTATAATTCTATGGAGATTTCATTAGAAAAATATGTTAGGCTTTTATGAAATTTTAACTTTAAAAATTACTTTACATTTAAAGGTCAATCTTTCACTGATGAACCACATATACTTCTTTGGTACTATAATTGTTCCTCTGTAGGTAAGATGCAATTCAAAATTACATTGGATTAAATAAGTCAGCATGAATTTCTACTTCATATAAAGGTTCAGGGAAGCTAAGATACTCTGGGTGCTAGGTGTTTCTCCTTTTAACTCATTCTATTTTCGATAACACGTAGTCCTAATTCCAAAGATTGTTCTATGTTCTAAGATGCCTACTTCAGCCACAATTAGCACGCTTATAGTTTAGAGACCAGGAAGTAAAGGAAGAAAGAATGGGCAATGTTTTCATTCTTCTTTTGAGGTAGGTTTCCAGAGTGTGATATAGGACGTTATAAAATAGTGTAGGTGATTTTGTCACATAATTACACGTGGATTCTTTGGAAGCCCAAGAGATATAACCATTGTAACCATTCTTAGTGGTGATTACTTTTCTGGTAGAGGTGACAAGAGATGTTTAAAAATATATTTAATATGATCACACCACCCATTAACAAATGTTTTCCAAATTTATATTTCTTCCTTCCTGGTGCTTCAGTGTACTTTGCAATCACTTTCTAAAACTCAGTTCACTTCAGTGGACACATATTGAATACATATGTATATTAGTGCAAACACAATGGATAAAATACTATCTGTGATGGTTTTTATCCTTACCCACAAAAATCTTATAGACAAGTTTTGGAAAGATAGATCACATGGAATTATTTCTGTTTCATCAGTGGTAGAATGCCAAGTGATATGTGAGAAAACAGAAGGGCAACTTACGTTGGCTTGGGAATTGGGAAAAGTATTGCAGGTTAGGTGACATCTAAGCTAATTTATATATCACTAGTTCATTGTTGACCAAATATACTCTTAAGTGAAACAGTGTTTCATGATCCAGTAATATGAATATATTAAAGCAGAAAGAATTCAAGAGGAAAGAGGCTGCGATACCAGTGGACAAGGATAAGAAAGAAGCTACTGAATCAGAGAAGACACTGGGAAAGTCAGGAGGAAAGACACCTGAGCACTTGCATCAGATGAAAGATTTTGGCCTTTAAGGGGAACATGAAGTCATTACATAATTATAGCTACTAAGTTACCTAGCAATTAATATACAATTATTTAGAAGGGTTGAGTCTTGCAATAGTCAGTACAAAAGTAAAGACTTCAGGATTGTGGCTGAAGACCCATTTGAAGAAGGCCAGGCCTCAAGATAAGGACAATGACCAGGCCTAAATGCCTCTAAGGGATAAATAATAATTTGAGATTATATTTAGCATCACCTTGTCCAGGAAGGCCATATAAGCATCAGTAGCCCAGATAGGGGAACAAAACATCTGGATACATTTCTTCCTTAAAATGCCTTTATTCTTTTCATGTACTCTTGCTATGGTACATATTTCTCCGTTGGGTCAAATATAGTTAAGCAGCTATACTTGTAATCCTATGGTTGAATGTAGCGTGATCTAAGTTGTACCTATATTGTGACTTTGCTGTATAAATTGTTCCTGAGAAAGGGCCTCAGCGGCCACCCCAATCAGGACCCCTCCTGGAAAACCTAGAAGTATTTGTCTCTCTTTATGTCCTATAAAAATCTGCTGACTTCATCCTTTGGTTTGTGACTTCTTTCCTCAAAATGTGAGACCAGGAAATAGCATATTCAATATCTGATAGTTTGAGAGTTCTAGTTCTTCTCTATCAGTGTAAGAGAATTTCTTCTATCAAAGAGTGTGTGACCGACAAGAGTACTGTAAGAATTAGAAAAAAAACAGAAAATGAGTAGTTTAAATATTAATTTTTTAAAAGTTATTTAAGAACTATGATTACATAGAATTCTGCATAAATCTAAATTTCAGAGGAAAAAACCCACCCTGTTAAAACATATTCAAAAACTTCCCTTGTGTCATGTGACACTAAATCTTCACATTATGGTTTGTATACAAGGCATTGGTGAAAGCCAATTTTCTGATGATGTAGAAGGCATTACAAGGGACCAATATTTCATAACTCTTCCAAAGTACGTATGTTGTAAGAGTAAGTACGGTCATCAGGGAAAGGTGCTCTCCAAAGTGCACTCAAGGACACGACTCCTATTAGTGGCTAAATATCCTACAGTTTGGGTGAGGAGGTGGAGAAGAGGAGTTTCCAAAAAATACATCATTAAGTTTGTTGCATTTTAACTGCACTTTTGAAGTTGATGGAATATGATAGACAATTTTCTGTGGGCTTATT